TAACAATGGTAGCTGACTCCCTAAGTTCAAACTAAACCCCTCCAAAAACATGTGGAGAAGCATAAAGAACCTCTGCAATACATGCAATGTAACCCATTCATCTGCAAACACGGAGACGATGCACAAGGTTTCAACAAACACTTCCAACGCATTGAAATGAATTCGTCTGCACCACACGAATTCATTGCACCCCTAGCAGATAGCGACCCAACATCCCTGCAATTTACATCAGATGAAATCCTCAAGCGTCAGTGCCTTTCCTGGTCCCGATGGCATCAGTTCATTAATTTTGAAATTGTCCTCATCTAAATTGTGCAGAATTATAACTAACATTTTAGACTATTTTCTGCATTAATCACTGATGCCGGATATATGGCATATGATTTCGATCATCCTGACACCGAAGAAGGGATTACCTGGAAAGGTAAACAGGCATTCCGTCTAATAGCAAGGACGTGTTCCTCGCTAAAATGTGTTGAACGTTTTCTCCTTCCTCTCTTTGCAAGGCAAGTAACAACTTAATCCTTACCAATTTGCATACCGTCCCACAACAGGGTTTGACGAGGCTTGCCTAACTCAGGAAATTGGTCAAGAACGGGAAAAGGGCGTTAAAGTCGGCAGAGACATGACGTTAAACGTATCATCGGCATTCCACGCCACTGCGTGTGATAGGGTTTTACTCAAACAGACCGAATTCTCCGTTTAACAGTGGCAAATTATTTTTCCAGTCGATTTCAATTCGTAAAAGTCAAGGGAAAGAAACACAGCGTTTCCTCCAACAACCTTGGAGTGGTGCAAGGCTCGGTCCTGTCTTTACTGTCAATTCATATTTTTACCACTGACTGTTGTACCACTGAAATGCATAAAATACACTGACGACACAGTTGTTTTGGATCTCTAAAATCGACCATAGATTGGCTTACTTATACGACAATGGCATCCGTTATGTGCGCCAGCATTTCACTCTCACGAGGTGGTGCTCAACATGGGCAAAACACGCAAATGGCCTTGCCTCCTGCCTGGCACTAAAAGTCAGTACTCATCGACCTCTCTTCACGTGTCGTTACCCCTCACACCGATTATGTACAAGTACAGCATGTCGGATATCCAAGAGTCATCCCGTCTGCCGACTTCACGTGGCATGAACACGTTCAGGCAACAATGACTCGTTGCTGCTGGGTAGCATTTTACGCAAGGAGGCTGAAAAATCGGAGCGCACCTCAAGAAGCACTTGACGTGTTTGTCTGCTTATGCATTCTATCGTTGTACACATGCGCCAGTGCTGTAATTTTTCCGGGCTGTTAGCAGGCGATTATAAGACATTACTCGTTTCAAGGTTAAGCGCGGTTTGAGGTTAAATGACGTGGCGAAATGTGCTATAGAATCAGCGCTCGCATGGGAAACACTTTATTTAACAACATATTGCATCCACTAGCTTCCGAATGTGTTGTCCAACAATACGTCCACTCGTTCACACTCGTTCAACATATCAGCGAGGACCGAGTTATTTCGCAGGTTGTTCATTCCATCTTCAACACGCATTCTGCTGAGGGATATCCCCACAGTGTTAAACAGCTCTACTTGACTACGCGAAGTATAACGTTGTTCTATGTTACCGGAGATTTTTCTTGTTAAATTTCCGTCCTGTAATATCACAAAAGCAGCTTGATTTTATTTCTTTCTGTGATATATCCTTCTTTTTCCTATTTGATTTATGACATGTTCTGAGAATTGGTGCTTATCGATGACACCATTCAAGCAGTAACATCTTAATCTTAATCTGTTTAAAGAGTAAATGAAAAGATATCTGTAAATAAACTGATTTTCGTAACGATTGCTCTAAAACTGCAGTGCCCTGATCCACCTGTAACGTATTTTGATGAGCAGCTTGCCTCTTTAAAAAGTCTTTTATGCACATAGTAAATCATAGTAATAGCCAATGACCGAAACTACTATAGTCTATTTCGAACCAGAGAATGGTACAAAGCAAGCAGTCGGATTATCTTCAATATTCAGATCCTATAAATCACTGCTAAACCATCAGCAGGAACCGGCCTCACCTTCCGTGTAGGACATTTCAGGATCAATGATGCCATAAACTAGCCAAAACAGTTCATTGTGTTTAAAATGGCTCACTTCATCAATCCAACATCATCTATAGTACATTCACACTAATTATCGTTCTCGACTTCTGAATTTTTGTTTGTAAGTCTTGACTTGAAAAACCAATTTTTTTAAATCAGTTAGCACTACGTTTCGAAGGATACGGACCGTTCTTTCGTTACCACCATTTGATGATACTACTACCGTAGGCAACTTTGCAAACTAGGTCATCCATATGCTGCAATCTGACGCATGACGATTATTGTACCTATGCTCCTGTGAACGGAGTGCAAGTGGAACATCATAGAAAATTAGTCTACTTCAAGAGTACTGTCGAAAATGATAGTACTTACACATATTACAGTATAGCGGGCAAACTGCCGCTTTGAAACGATGTATCTGCTTTGCTTATTTTAGGAAGCTGTTGTACTCTGTAATCACGAGACGTTAAATAACGAAGCATAAACGGAATAAATAAACAGACAGCGAACGCTAGAGAATTTTGTAAACATAAAACAACGCAGCACAGCCACCGCAGAACTCGTGCCGTCGTTCATCATGGCACAATTCCCAGACTTGGTTTCGTTCCAATTCGATCATCTTTTCAGACAGGTCGCAGTCCCAGTTGTAAGGAGTTAGCAGTGGCCCCTGCAGCCACAGTTCCCGGATGCACATTATCACAAAGCCACCCTTTATCACCATTTTTACGACGTCGTCGAGGTTGGCTGCGGTCAGGTGACCGGGAGCGAATGAACAGTACAAAACAGCGGCGTTGAACTTCACGGGGCAATTTTCGGGTTTCAGGGTACCGAGGATGTAGGATCGGTAGCAGTGTCGCTGTCGGAGCAACTCTAGCAACTGGGGACACACCTCGTGGGCATGCACGTTGTGAAATCCGCGATTCGCCAGCTTGATCCCAACTACTCCGGATCCGGCCAATACGTCGACCACGTGGTCGGCCAGAGTCAGGAAGCGGGCACAGAGGTCGACGACGATCTTCACGGCCATCTGCCGTCCCTCAACTACCTCAAGGTCGTGCTGGTCGAAGAAGGAGAGCGGACTTTTGGGAATATCACCGGCATCCATCGGGTCGTCCAAACGGGTGCAACAACAGCCGTATGACGATGGGAGGGCACCTTACACTGTATCGTTCCTTCGACCAATGGAGGATCACGGGATGGCAACAAGTCCTGGGAAAAAGCTCACAGCAGCGGACGACGGTGACGCGTTGACTACGACGACGACGACGAAGTTTACAACGACCGCATCGTGTCAGCGGATATAAGCAGCTCGGTGGTGCCGGTGAATCACCGTTACTCATTTGCTACTGTCATCGTAAAAAGTTTAACAGCAGGACAACCAATCAAGCAACCGACTACAGGAAACTAGAAGCAGAGAATCGCAAAATCTGGCGTAGTCGTTTCACGTGCAACACAACGTCAGTTTCACGTGAATAAAAGTCATAAAGGCGGAAGCGCCGTTCAGGCATCACAGTTCAAGCTTCGGGGTCTCACATTATGACGTTCAGAAAAATGGTCCTCCTCACGTGCGCTCTCCAAGATGAGGGTAACGCATTTGCGTCAATTCGTACCAGTGGTCGTGTCGATCGAATTTCTCTTTCCAACGGTTTTTGAAAACTCGCGTCTGTGCACACTTGTGCAATACATGATCTGAATTCGTGCAAAATATCAATAAGTTGACTCTAGGAGTCGTTCTTCATTGCAAGCAGTTCAGAAAACGACAGAGTTTTCACGCCCAGTTCAAGTTTCCGTTTCGTTTTCGCTAAAGCCTTTCCAATTGCTCCCAGTCATTGTTCGATGGCAGCAGACCTCAGACG